AATTATAATGTTTTGATTCAAATAGATTATATGAAGAAAATGGATAGTCTTCGGAACGTCACCAGGTGATACATATGTATTTTTATATGCAATATTTCAAAAATTCAAGTTACTCAAGAATTAGATTTTTTTCATAGTGATAATTGATCAAATTCAGTGAATTTTTGCTTTTCCATCATTTGTATTTATTTTTGAAATTCAATATTCTATTTATTTTGTAAGGTAATAATCCTCAATTGAAAACTATTACAAATATGAATTGTCCTTCTCAAAATGAAATATTTAAACAAAATCAGTTTCCACGATATTTCAGTTATCTTCGCACAATACAGAATATATCCTTGAAAATTTTATATTGATATCCCCAGTCCGACGGCTATTAATACTATATGTAGCGTAATATGATAAACAGCGCCTCTTTTGAAGTTCTTTGCCGCAAGTCACTTTTTCAATGTCTCCTTAGCGGCATCCTCATAGGGGCATTGCGGGTAGAAATATCTTAGTGACTTTGGTGATGAATTTCTGTACCACTTGCGACTATGTTGCTTTCTTTGATGTACTGGCATGTTTGCATTCTTGGAATTCTTTCACTCTCATACAATACCGGATGAACTATAGTAACAGCTCCATCTCGTGAACAAAACATAAAACGGTGAGATACATACATACATACAAGAATATAAAAATTTGTAAATAAAATTTTGAACCGATCATCTCTCCCAACTACTTGAACAGTAGGTTCTGATGAATATCTGCCGGCAAACAACTTATTTCCCGACTAATACCACGCTTATTTCGAAATATTCATTTTCTTGTATGTATGTATTTCTCCTTGATACAGTCTTCAGTTTCAATGTCTGTTTTGGTACATGGGATGTTCCTTCTCCGCTTGAGGCGTTGTTAGGAATCATAATTTTTCTACTTTTGAACCTCAAGATTATACTGACTTGCTGTGATTCTCGAACCCAATGGTCGCCTTCCACATGGTTCGGATGATGATTACTAGTAATTGATGTCAGTGCGCCCTCCGTTTTACGGAGGAAAAGGATCAAAAAACGCAACGTTTCTGGTATAATGGTTTCTGATTTTATTAAATGGGAGAATGTACATTCTGCGATGACATGAATCTAGTTATTGCACAAAACTATATATTCTTTAAATTCAAATTCATAAGATGACTCATAATTTAAAAAATGCTGCAATTTATAAAACACAATGGACTTGTTCATTCTCGATTCCAAGATGTCCCACTTCCTTGGAGACATAACAACAGCCTTTATTTTTCGGATTCCTGGATCGATAAGACGCAAACATATCTTACATTCTTTATCATACATCTGTATGAAATAAGACTGGCAAGAGAAACGAGGGGTGGCACTCGAGGATAGCTCTTGGCGCACTTCAACCGTATTTATGACTTCGATGGCAATAACCCTAACGCATGGCCTACTATATTTCTGTTGGCGCGTTGCGGCGATTCAGGAGACCAGCTTTCCACATCGTAAATTCAAGATTTCCGTCCGTGTAGGAGCTGCATTTTGGCCAAATGTCGAATCAACAGAATCACTTGAACTAGCCCATAGCCGAGTGAAAAATAAAGAGAAACCCCAAGAATAGGCTTATATGAAAAGTAAAAACTGAAAATATTACTCAACTATTCATTTCAATAGCACTGAAACAGTCCAGTTCAATGTGGCCGAGTAGAAGAATGGTTAAGTAGAATTATTATAATTAGATAAATCTTCAATTGATGGATGAAAAAAAAAACATAGAAAGATCAAATCACACAATTTTATCATGACAACGTTTAGTTGGAACCTAACTAACGTATTTTTCACTATTTTTTGAGTACATTAGCTACCAGTTTGCTTTGTCCATTTTTCAGAATGTGGAAAATTATATACTGGACAAAAATAAAAAATATTGAGCTATCCACACAATTTATTCTTTGAAGAATATCTATTTTATTCTGTTACATTGTCAGACAGTCATGATTTATTCTCACCGGTATCTTCTGCAACATTTATTATGAATTCTTGCACCTCATCCATGATGTGCTCTCTTTCAATATATTTTTTTCCAATATTTTCTACATGTTTGTAGATGTTTTGATAGTTTTGAATTATCACTTCTTGAAATGTTTCTTCTGTTAGCCTCCGAACATCAGCTAGTATGAATGAGGCACTATGGGCTTCTACTTCATTATTTAGTGGTGCGCATATTTTTTCTATCAATTTCAACCACAAATGCGTACGGTTGTAGGCATAGTGTTGATCGTAGTAGCCCGCATACTGTTTTGTTGAACAATATGCTTATCGCAAAATAACTTTGTTTTCAATGAGATGCACAGACTTTCAGACCTGGTGTTCTGCAATCACTTCTGTCTCGTTGAAAAATTCCTAGATCCATTAGTAAAAGAGGATGGTCATCATCCTGCTTTGGAAATAACATGCGAACTGAACTTCAAAACGAACTCGGAGAATGAATTTGCATCATGTTTCCAAGATGTATACAATTTTAAAAAAGCTAACTTCCGCTCTGATTCTCAATCTCGATTGGACGTTTCTAAATGCGTTTCGCAATGCAGATGATGCTTGTCTTCACTTTTATGAAAAATCATACAGTGTATCTGATCGCTGCGTGCCAAAATTCTCGATAAAATCTAAAAATAATTATCCAGCATACTTTGATGGTGCATTGATAGAGAAAATTCAAACTAAAACAAAATTTTGGTGTAAATACAAAAGAAACGACGACATTCACGCTTTTCACGAATTCAAACGTCTTCGGGCAGAAATCAAAGCAGCCAATTAGAATAGCTTATAAAAAATTTATTCAGAAAACTGAGAGCGAGATTATCCATAACCCCAATAAGTTTTGGTCTTTCATTAACAAGTCAAAACATACGAATGGAATCGGAGAAAAAAATTTTACATGAAGGCAAGCTACTCGATAATCCCTCAGATATTCTTGATGGTTTTGCTGATTCCTTCAGTGGTTCTCATATAGTGTCAACATTAAGTGACCATGCGAACAACAGTAGTGATATTCTAAGCTCAGCAATCAAAAACTTCAGTATTGAAGATGTTTATCATACCCTAAAAAAATTAAAGCCTAAATTTAATGCGGGATCTGCTCATATTCCAGCATTCATCATTAAAGATTGTGCCTCAGCTATGGTTAAACCACTAACAGCTTCAATTAATATATGCCTGAAAACATCAATATGGAAAATATCGAATATCTGCCCAATTTCAAAAAAAGGATATAAAAGTGAAATACAAAATAACAGACCAATCTCTATTATATGCAACTGTAGAGTGTTTGAGATGCTTCTTTAGAAGACAACCTACTGTCATGCCAGCAACATTATTAGCCCCAATCAACATGTTTTCATGAAAGGACGTTCAACCACTACGAATATTGTAACAATCACTCGATGTATCGCAGAGGGTATCGATTGTCAGTCTCAGACTGATGTCATCATCACTGATTTTTCTGAAGCGTTCGACAGACTTGACCATAGTATCCTGCACAACAAGCTTTCGACTTTTGGGTTATCCAATGAATTAATTCTCCTCCTCAAATCGTATTTTTACAACCGTAAACAGTACGTCCAACTCGATGGCTTCAAGTCTATTGAATATATAGCTACATTTGGTGTACCAGATGCAGCTTATCGCATGTATGGATTCTTAGTTAGAAATACAAAAGACTTCGAAAAAGCTTCAACATTGAAATTACTTTATTCCACTTTTGTTCGATCTAGGCTGGAATATGCATCTGTCGTGTGGAGTCCCTACTATCAGGTTCATATAAATCAACTAGAAGCCCTACAGAGGCGCTTCCTCAAATATATGTCTTTTAAACTTGAGGGCACGTATCCTACTGTAGGAATACCCTATTATGAATTGCTTGTAACTCACAATTTTTGTAGTCTCGAGGTGGGGCGTAAATATCATTCATTTCTTTTTTCATTCAAGGTCATAAACAATATCATCACCTGCTCTCAACTGATACATATGTTGAATTTTTAGGTTCCTAGGCGGTCATCTAGAAATAGTGTCACATTTTATCCCAATACTACGCGTACAAATATAATGAAAAAATCTCCAATTTATACAATGTGCGATACCTCTAATTCTGTTAGTCATGTCCTAGATATATTCAACTGCCAAGACTATTGTGATAGGTGACATTATCCATAACAAAAACTCATTTTTCTAGAGCATTAGGGATAAATATATCTTCCAACCATTGTATGAGATTTGTGGAGTTCATTTCGTCATAGTAGTCGCATGTTTTACTTCCCGATGTGAATATGTTCAACTCGTTGGGTACGAATCCTGATGCACCTTCAGTCTGTAAGATGATAAGACATCTTTCTTTGGATACTGAAGATTACAAGCATTTATTTTTGCCATCGTATATTTCTTTGTATATTTCTCAATTTTCAATTTCAATATTGAATTTGAGCAAGAGGGCTCATCGAAAAGTATATGTATTCAGTATCCTCATACCTAAGTCCACTCAAAATATTTCCATAACATGCAGATCTAACATTTTCACTAGTAGAAGATAACTGATTAATCGAAAAACCAGGAGAAAAAATCTCTACTGATTAACGAAACATATTACGAGTAGGGTAGACCGAGGACATTTGAAACAGAGGACAATAGAAACAACTGCCATAGTAGACGGATTTCGCCGTTTAAATCACGCGCGTTTGTACCAAATGAAGCACCATTAGATGCAGCACGTAGCCATCAGTCGGTCACTGACGGCAGTTGTTAGTGGATGTACACGTCCACGATAACTTGATTTTCCGCTATCGAAGTAAACTTTTACATTGATTGAAAAAGTGTGTCACAAGAGATAAAAACGTAAGTATCCAGCTTCGACTATATTTATCAGTTTCTATGGTATATGTTCTTCAGTCGGAATAGTTTAAATTATTACTCTTATCCAAGAGTGAAAAAATATCGAGTGTTTACTCAAATATGTGCTGCAGGGTCAGTTGACATGGGGGACAACATGGCCGTCGTGAATTTTTCATTATTTCCATATTGTAGGTTATGTAAGGGTATGTTAAAGTGTTGACTTTTTTTTGTAGGATGCTACGAGTGAGAGTGAAAAAACACAGAGAGGTTTGAAATCCATCTTGGCGTATGAAGAAGCCTACAAAGTTACTGAAAATAATGCAGCAGCTAAATATGAACTACATTACGTTTCTTTGAGTAGATTTATTAAGAAGAAAAAGCAAGCAATTGAGCAAGAATCTGCTGTTCCTGTTACTATTTGTATTTGACGTAAACAAGGAAAAAATAATTGTCGTCTATATAATCAAAGCAGCGCATATATTCTAAAGATTACTACCCAAAGAAATTTGGAAATCAGCTTTTCAGTTGGCCGTAAAATATTCGCTGAACATGCCCGATACATGGAGACAGAATGCCATTGCAGGAAAGGATTGGTTTTCTGGATTGATGGAGCGCAACCCAGATCTTTCACTCCGCTGCGTTCAAGCCAAACGTCTTTTCAGAGCAACTAGTTTCAACGTCACGAACGTTAAATTTTTTTCAAAAGCATACCAATGCTTCAATTGAAAATAAAGTATTGCTTTTACTTGATAATCATCAGTTGCACATAGGTATACGAAGCTTGGACTTATTTGAAAAAGTCTTGTAGGAAAGTGTGCAGTCAGGTCTCCTCCTCTTTTGTGAGAGTTAATGGCGACCTTGGCTTGGTAATTCTAATAGGGAAACAGGGGACGGACCTCGTTTCCATGGCCACTGGGCGGTGATGCACAGATATCTCACCAATTCCTACATCTAGAGTGAACTGTCTCTTCCGGAGGATGTCCATTTTTATGACCATATCAGAGAAGAATCCACATAAGTGTCCAAACAATTCCTCAAAGCGGTGGTTGTAAAACTGTATCTCTACTCGGAATGTTGTTGGAACTATGACGATTTCTCCATCAGCCAGACGAGCTGAACTGGCAGTTGTTGGAGTTTTCGGTACTCCCAGCAAATCCCATTGTCCAGCAATCCTGTCTCCCACATAGGGGATCACAGCGCCGGTATCAATCAGAGCTTCAACGTTGTTACCAAGAACATTGACTCGAATATGGGGACGATAGTCTCGCCTTTGCGGTTGATGATGTCCTGGGGGCGGTTGGTGATGTCCTGGGGGCGGTTGTTCTCATGGGCCGGAACAATGGTGTTAGAGGCATTATGAGGGCTTTGCTGTACATGCCCCAGGTTGTTGCAGCGTCCTAGTGGTTTTCCGGACGTGGCACGAACAGTCACGATACATCACTCCATCTCTCTTGTATTTCGAGCAGAAAATTCTAGGGGTTGCTCCACACTGGTTCATGAAATGTCTAGTCTGCCTACATTATCAACACTCTTGGTCTCTTTTCTCAAGTCGGATCGACAGTGATGTAGTGTTGTTAGTCTGGCTCGTACTAGGAGTCTCTCGACTCGTAGGTACAGTAATTTTGTTCATTCATACCTCATAAAAGATATTTAGTAAATGTGAAATTACTTTCGTATAATTCCTTCCCTTAGTTTAATTGCGTTGTAATTAGACATTAATTTACAACCTCTGCCGGTTGTCTGTTTTATGGAAATTTATAAATTTTGGTACACAAATTTTGAATTTCTCATTCTTTCGTAGTTGTTTTCTGTCAAGTCTGTGGATTTCTAGACATGTACACGGTGACCTCGCTGTACTTTATCTGAATTTTTCTGAGATGTTGTGAACATCCCAGAAAACATCTACTCAAACTGCAGTTTGAGTAGAGCTTAGTCGAATCATCACGTACAGCACGTTGAATAGAAGAAGGGATGTTGAATTCAATAACAAAGGAAAACAAAGAGGCAACCAAAAGAACACTGCAGTAACGTTAGTTACAAATAGAAGTGGTAAAAAACAGAGAAAGTTTCAATTCTCTTTTCTTCATATATAATTCAACTTTTTCGAATGAAACACTCTGTATTTTCTTATTTGTATGAAATGTTTCAACATTTCACTACATTTCTTATCAAAAGAATAGCATACGAAAAACTGATATTTTACAAATCAAACCAAGTTTCAGTAATTTTTGTAACCACAAAAAAATATTGTTTCTTACGTTCACTTACTTAAATTCGTTTAACGAATATTCGAACTAATCGCTAGTATCTCAGCATTTTTCATACCATCTAGCGATTCCAATGGTAAGAATTGCGCAAAAAACCTAAAGAATATTTATACTGTTTTTTTCTTCAAAAACCCATTTATTCATGACCGACATCAAAAAATGAATCTCCGTATTGGTCAATAACGCCATGTATTGAAGTTTCTTTCGCGTGTAGATTGAATCATTTTCATTATAAACTATGTATTGGGAAATATGGTGCAAATTCTCTATGCTTTTGGGAAAAGTGACGGAAACTGCTTCTTAGATGTCAAGAAACATAATTGATCATTTTCCGAAGACAAAGGGCCTCATAATCTATTTCCGTCATACCAACTGGAACAGGGCGATTTGGGTAATCATTCAAATGATTTCATTTGTAGACTATCGAGCGCCTAATGTGAAATAGCATAGAATGAATTGCAAATAAAAAAAAATTGAAAAAACCCAAAATTGAATATTATTGTGAACAACTATGAATCATAATCACTTTGAATCATAATCAAACCAGACAGGCCTTGTAGTTTTGGAAGCGAGAGATTCTGAAATTCACAAGACACATTTTTACTATCACACTGTCATCGATAAACTGGCTAGGTTGGCGTGAGGTTGTATTTAGTTGATGTGGGGTAAAGTACGGACGACAGATAACAGGTGATGTACTGACGAAAATCAAACATGGTGAGCCAGAAGGTTGCTAAGAAGAGAGATTTTGTTGAACGTAGGCAAAAGACATGAGATTTTTTTTTCGATTGATTCGCCTGTTACTTGATGAAGATCCATAGTAATTTCAGAAACTACACCTCACGATTTGATCTCCACAAACTTTATTTGAAAAATATGTCACAACATGTTTCGCTAGCACAATAGCTTTTTCAAGTGATTTATACTTCAATTTGCCCTTACATTAATATACATATACCACAGGTAACCACAATTGAGACTAACTCAAAAAAATTATATAAACCTCTACCTAAGGTACATGTTCTATCATGATTACCTGAAGCATATTACCTCACATCTACATCAATAATAATTATTTTTTCCACGTTTTCTGTTGGTTGTCCAAAATACGTTAAAGCTCTGTAATTTTGATAATCTACCTCATCAATAGGAAAAACGTCTTGAATCGCTTTTGCGTAGACTTTCTTGGAAAGTATTTTGTTTATTAATTCGGCTTCAAACCAATTGTTAACCACAATTTGCTTGATGATATTAAGTTCTTATCAAAATTATTTATTGAAAGAGGGACATTGACTAATCTGTGAATCATGCTATTATAAGCTGCTACCTTGTGTTGATAAGGATGAGTAGAATCGTAATGTATGGTAATATCTGTAAAGGACGGTTTGTGATAAATTGAAAAATCATGTTTGTTGTTCATTCTACTAACTGTTAGGTCCAAGAAATTGATTCAGTTGTCTGCTTCAATTTCGATAGTGAATATTGATATTGAATAGTGATATTCTCAAAAAAAACCCATATGTTTCGCAATGTAACATATTATGAGAAATGTGAAAAATAAGCGCATCTTCATCTCATCACGCTTCAATTTGGCTCCTTGCAAATCCAGAGTTATACAATATATTAGGCTATAACCTAATCTACAATCGAGGCCAATTCAATCAAAATGACGACACAGTAATATACTTGAAAAACAATATTTCATTCAAATACTCAATTATAACAAAACGTGGTATAAATTTTCTTAGTGTCGATATTGTGCACAAAAATATTTGTATAACAGCTTGCTACCGTTCGCCAGCCTTCAATATAAATGAATATTATAAGCACTGAAAAAAAAAAATAAATCAAACACAAAGTACTTGTGGGACATGGTAAGGAAACTCTGTGGAAGGAAACAACAACACAAAATCATTGGAAATATCTCAAATGATGATGGGGAACTCTTAACAAACGATGAGGAAAAAGCAAACGAATTCAATAGTGAGTTTGTTAGTTTTGGGAAAATTCTTGCTGAGAAAATTGAAAGAGATTCTCACTTTGTGAGCACATCAAAGATATACTTTTTTACTATTTTATTATACTTATTTTTATTTTATCATTATCATTATATTTTCCTCATCGTTATTTCACCTGTACTGTGTATATGAGAAACAAGTGCTTGCACTTATCTCCACATTATTTTATTCAGAACAATCATGTAACCTCTTAATCAAAATTATTTTCCTTTACTCTGAATGAAGTTTGAAAAAACAATTTGGAGGAATAACCGTGCACAGATGTTGGATATTTTCATTCAGTCGATCCTCCACTTAGGACATTTTGAAAATAGGAAATCAGTCTACTTTGGTTGAATCGTAATCATTCCCAACAGCGCTAACAAGTGAAGAAGCAATATTTCACTTTTTGAATAGATGAATATTGTTTGCATACTGTAGGTTAGGTTAGGTAAGTGAGTGAGTGGGTCTATTCAACCCTCCACCGTAAGCCGCAAGAGATTATTGTGCCTCACACCTATTCATACTCGACCAAATGAACCCAGATTCCTAACGAAGCCGATTAGTTTGTATAGTGAGTGATCTTTTAGGTCAGATGTTAAGAATACGGCTCTGCCGAACTCTTTAAACCTGATTCGGGCTTTGCCTGCCCTAGCAGGGAAGGCTGTTTTTGTTGTTGTTTAGTAACATCAAGGCGATGTGACCTTAACGTGTCTGGTGCATGGATCGTTGAGAATTTTTTTTTCAAATGAGACTTTGTGTGTGTGACATAGTGACGTATTTACATTTGATTGGTGTGTATGTGAGAATGCACGGTACAGGGTTTTATCATGTGCTTGTCTATGTTCAAACGTACGTCTGCATACTTCGAAGATCCTGCTGTGACGTCACAGCAGCAACCGTTCAACGGTAAGAGAGCAAGAAGTGTGGCTGAGTAATGCGTATTTATCGGTGTGCCCTCTATGCAGTGAAGGCTGTGACGTAACGCATCGCTCTAGTCTCGATATCGATGGTGACACGCAGGCGGCCGAGGACTGTGCTAACGTCTGCCCTCTCCGAAAGCGCAACGACCACTGCCTGTTCGTATTGACATCTGTTATCGCATCCAGTTGGGAGGTGGGCTTGGCTGTGACGTCAGGCATCTCTAGTGGGTAGC